TGGGAAGGGAGGAAGAGTTGGGAAGGGAGGAGGAGGGAATTGGGAAGGGAGTTGGAAGGGAAGAGGAGGGAGTTGGGAAGAAAGTTGGGAAGGGAAGAGAGGAGGGAGTTGGGAAGAGGAGAGAGTTGGGAAGGGAGGAGGAGGGAGTTGGGGAGGGAGTTGGGGAGGGAGTTGGGAAGGGAGGAGGGAGTTGGGAAGGGGAGGAAAAGGGGAAGAATGGGGGATGTTTGAGGTGGAAGGAAAGATGGACAAGAAAAAGGATGTCAACCTTATTTTTTGCTCTGTTAACCACTCCAATTTCTCGTGTGTGTAAACAATGACATCGTCCATGTTACATTTTTCTGTCGCAGGTGACGAGGCAGCCTGGAATCTTGACAACATGGATGCTGCCTTCCCAACACTGTTCGCAAGTTTGTTTGTCAAGGATGGTGAGAGTACGCTGCTGGGTGTCCTTGGTGATGAAAGGGATGAATTATGTGAAGGAGTTGTGGGAGGTTTGCTTGTTTTATTTGCTGTTGTGCTCTTTCCTCGTTTCCTCTTCTTTGCAATCTTTGAAAGAGAGGAGAAATTGGTTGGAAATTCAACTTTCATTCAAGAGATTTGAGGCATGATTATTGGTTAGGCTTCTTCAGATGAAAACCATCCACTGTGAGTCAATGTTTTGCAAGTGTCAGGCTGTCCAAAATTACTAGCATCAGAAACCAAATTGGGTTACTGCAAAATCAGCTTTGCAGTAACCTGGGTTTACCAAACAAAAACTTGTCAGAAGAACTTAGAATTTATTATTTTATATGTCCAAATGAATTGTAAAGCAACCCAATTAAATTACAGAACACACAAAGAAAATTTAAATATCAACTGTTAACATGGTTATTAATTATAGAATTAAGAACTTACAGACTTACATTACTTTAGGGAAACCAAATTAGGCTACCTCTACACAAAGTTTGCTGTAACCCAGGTTTGGTTACCGCAAACTTTTGGACAGCCCGAGTGTGCACTTTCTCCTGATATTTCCTCCCACAGAGAATATTCACAGACTTGGTTGTACAAGTAGTATCCTGACTTTATTATCATTATTTATTTGTGCATACACGTTTAAGCCCCGGTCAAAATATGAGGACAACAGTTGATGAGATTCGGCAGTCACACATTGTTATAGCCTGGACATTTCAAGCTCAAGATTAACAAAATCAAAATTTGCTGTTTCAACTGTGTTTTAATTGAACCCATTGAGTGGCAGCACTCTCCCCCTGACAAGTAAACTTGTCTGGTGTTAGACAGAGTAAACTAGTCAAGTAAGGCACATTGCCACTTAAAGGGTTAAATAGAATACATTATAGTGTTGGGAAAACAGCTAATCAAGATCATGTGACTGCCCTCGTTTCATCCGGGCTTTAGTTTCAAGTCGCACATGCAAGAAACGTGTAGTACCGTTGGACTTTCCTCCTCACTTGCTTCCCCTTCACTCTCGATCTCCTCCACACCACTGCTACACAATTCTTCAGAGCTTGCATCTCCTGGAGGTTTATATTCATCTCCTGAAACACAGTTGCAATACAGTCATTGTAATGTACAGTCTAACCCAGGGAGGGTGGCACAGTAATTAGTGCAGGAGCGTAGGAACCTGTGGGGGACACATCCCCCCCCCCCCGCAATTTGTCCCTTCAACTTACCAGACTCCATATCTTGATCATCGTCATCTGACTCTAACACAGATTTCTGCTTCTTACGCACCGGCTTAATTGACGAAGAAGTTGCTTTACGCTTTGGTCTTTTACTGTTGAACTGAAAGAGGCACAGTGCATGTTAACATGTGAAACAGCTTGGCTATACTTTGATGTTTTCAGTGGATAGGTTGGTCACACTAGGGGGTTTAGATAAAGCACCAGTTTAACATAATTCCTGCCCCTCCCCCCCCCCATTGTTTAATAATTGACATTCAATTAAACCGTATTTAAACATATTAATGTACATAAATAAACTTCCTTATATCAAATATACTAACTTTTCTTCCTGTGACAGCGTCATCATCACTATCCTCATCTGAAATGTCTCGTTTACGATTTAAATCTTGCTTGGGAGAGTCGCTGTCCAACCCTTTGCGAGCTAAGCCACCATTTGGCACGTGCGAATTCTTGTCGACTTTGGCGCTTAATTTTTTATTCTCCTTCTCTGAATTTAGCGCTAAAACCTTTGCTTTCTCTTGAGGAGAAGTGCTTTTAACTCCCTCTGCTGTATCAGCCGCGACTGGAGACGATTTGGTCGGTTTTTTCGACGGAATTTTCTTAAAGTAGTCAAGTAGGGTAGCCATTTTGACCGAATATCAATTTTGCGGGGAAGCGCGGGAAAATTGAAACTCGTAGGTACCGGAGATCCGGGTCATAAAGAAGGACAACTGCCGGTGGGGATTTGAAGACGAGGTATTGTGTTAAAAACGAGGGACGAAACAGCCATAGCCGAGTGTTTTAAATAATTAATATATCAATTCAACAAGTACAGCAAAAACAACGCTTTAATTTAAATACAACAATTATTACAGCACTACTGCAACAAAATGCAACACCACAAAACCATATTAATTATTATTTATATATTTATAATATATTAAAACATTAGCAGTGCGTGTTTTATCAAAGCTAAAGACACTCGGCTTCCTCTGATAGAACACTGCTGCTCATGTTTTAAATAGGACATAAAACGTGTCCAAAATGCATGACATAGCGTTTCACAGAGTCCCTAAAAATAACAAATAGACCCCATAGTTGTTCTGTGTATTGGAAGATTAGATGTGAGTTATCAATGTGAAAATGTGAATTGGGTGGGAACGCCACCAATGGGCATAAACGTTAGCTCATTCGCTCTGTTTGGATTATTGCCCTTGGAATATATTCTAATGTTTCTCCCTCGCCATAAAAAGATAAGTAGGAGGCAATTGGTCCAATTGCTGTTTCCTATTAGCCATTCCGAAGTTGATGAGTGGACTGGAGACGAGTGTTAAAAAGTGCCCAAATTAAGAAATGAACCAAATCACTAAAAAGACCACCTCAAAATTAGTAAGTATACAAAGTTTGAAGACGTTTACATGAATACCCTTCGAATAATAAGCCTTCGAAAATTGTGAAACTACTGATTAAAAGATTGTTTTTGGGACTCGCGTCCCAAAAACACAAATTACAATACATTTCATAGTAAACATCGCTATTTTCGAAAGCTTATTATTCGAAGGGTATTCCTGTAAACGTCTTCAAACTTTGTATACTTACTAATTTTGAGGTTCTTTTTTTAGTGATTTAGTTCATTTCTTAATTTGGGCCAATCTCGAAACCAGAGCCTGCAATCCTCTTAGGAAGCCTCCACAGTGGATTGCGGGCTCTGGTTTCGAGATTGAATTTGGGCAATTTTTAACACTCGTCCCCAGTCCTCTCATCAACTTCGGAATGGCTAATTCAAGGCTATCCTTGCATTTCAAAATTATGATGGAAGATTAATAAATAATAAACTTATTCGCCGCCTTTCCCAGACTCATCTTATCCTGACGTCTGATTCCTTGATCAGTTGTTGACTCTTGTTAGATCTTGTTAGATATCAATAATCACATACACTTCATGTTTTTCTTCGTCATCATAAACTTGCATGTTTGAATAAGTTATAGCTTTGACTTCTGTTCCCTGGAAAGCAAGCAGGAATAAATGCTTAACGCCTTGCTTAACAACACACTTTTCAGTTTTCACTGAAATCAATGCAATTAGCCCATCTCACGCCGCCATTTTTGGGTACTTTTTTTGCCAATCCTGCGAGCGAAACACCACGTAACGGCGACATTTTATCATTTTGTGGGTGTATGATGGTAAATTTACTCTGTAAATAGTCAGTTTCTTCTGAAATATTGCTTTTCACATTGTTATAATCGTTTTCGAAAAAATACAGTACCCAAAAATGGCGGCGTGAGAAATGCTAATTGACTCCAAATTCTGTGTCGTATTAGGTAGATACAGACAGAATTGAACAAGATCTTTAAATACCTGTGGATGCTTGTCCAAATCAAATGTCTCTCCATGTCTAAAACAATAAGACATAATCATTGACATCACAGACAAATGAGTCTTTAGTCAGTTTGCAATGCAGTCTTTTTCAGTGCATTTTTTAAGGATTCTTCAGTGGTGGGGCAAAACTGCCAAAGGGACCATTTTCCTGGCCCTCCCCCAGGATAGTATGCGGTCGCCGAAGGTGTGAGCCGAGTAGCACAGGCACGAGTTGGCTAGGGGGGTCTGGGCATGCCCCGCAGGAAATTTTTTAAATTTGGGTCTCTGAAATAGCATGTCCTGCATTCTGAGAACACATTTTAATAAAAAATCTCAGCTTCTCAAAACACAGTTTTAATGATGAAATTTGTAATAAATTGCATGCTAAACATTCAAACACAACTACATAAGTTTAAGTATGCTCACCAACAGTTTTATTTTTTAAACTTCTTTTCAATGTTAAACTCATTTACTCAATACAGCTCATAGGGCTCTGGCTTGGGGGCAATTGGCCATTTTGTTTTCTTCAGTGGTGGGGCAGAGTAAGGGGCCCAGTGAGGCAAATGCCCCATCGGTCCATGGTATTAAAAATGCCTTGGTCTTTTTACTGTAAAACTCTTTCGGTTTTGTGTCAGTTTTATTTACATACTTACACGTCAGCAATGATCTTGAGGTTGTCTTTATCAAATTCCATGATTTCAATTTCCTTGATGGAAAAAAAATCAATTAAATTAATGAGCAGAAAGATACCAAAAAGACTTTTCACTTTAAAATAACATTATCCAATCTGAGAACTACCTGTCCAATGAAAAATGGCTCAGCACAAAACAAGAAAAGTAGCTCATCAAGAAAATGAAAAAGGAGCGAAAGTAGATCATCACCTGGAAGAGATTATTTCACACTGTCACTGAATCACTACATTGTGGGAAAATGTTTAACCCATGAAGTTCCATTGCACCTCAATGTGCCCTACTCTGTTATTTACTCTGTCTAACACCAGATGATTTTACTTGTCAATGGGAGAGTGCTGGTGCTCAATGAGTTAATCAGACTATCTGCCCATACTGAATCACTACATTGTGGGAAAATGTTTAACCCATGAAGTTGCATTGCACCTCAATGCACCTACTTTATTATTTTACTCTGCCTCGCGCCAGATGATTTTACTTTGTCAAGGGGAGCGCACTCAATGGGTTAAATTTAGACAACCATTATATATAAGGAAATGTTATAATTGAACCTTCAGCGATTATTGTCTCTGTTCTTTCTGCATCAACTGTGTGTAGTTCCGTCATATAGCCATACATAGCAAGACCAACCTTGACATATAAAACAGATACATATATAACTAGAGGGCACTCAGAGACTGCATACCTCCGCCCGTTACTCGGAAGTGAAACGCAACCTTGGAATTTCCTAAGAAATCCACTTTATAATTCTTAAGCATAAAAGATTTCAGGCCCCCGCGAATTGAAATCGAATTGCTAATAGAACATATTACTGTTGTTGTACTGTACAGTACTTGTAAAATAAAAACTTATTAAGTGTCATTAAATAAATGCATAAATTTTGCTTTATGCACTCGCGCGTGCAGTAATTTTCACAGTTGTGCTTTATTTTAAATTCCCAGGCAGCTAAAATCTTTTGTCTTTAAAACAATGTCGATTTCTTGGGAAATTCCGAGGTTGCGTTCTTTTTATACACCCTGTATTGAAGTAATCTAATGTTGTTAGAATTTGAATGGACTGGCACAGTTGCTGAACGTAATAATGCGTAACTCCGTAAGCCTTGTTTTAGACATTGAATTTCGGTCGCGTGAAATGCAACTAAGACAATAGATAATGAAAGCCGAAGCTTAATGAGGTTTATCATCTCATTATTGTCTTAGCACTGAGTGCATAAATTATACATGTCCTAATTACGCATTCAGTAATATTTTTTGTTAATTGACCGGGAAAAGCAAGACAAAATTTTGTTCATTTCTCGTTCAATTTTTAACCAAATTCAACCAAATTTTAATCAGTTCTTCCTTAGCCAATGGGAAATGCATTCAAAAAATTTCGTACGGATATGTTTGGTATTTCTTGAGTTATCGTGCTCACAGACAAACACACACACATACACACACACACACACACACACACACACACACACACACACACACACACACACACACACACACACACACACACACACACATACAAACCCAGATGATTACATAACCTCCTGGCGGAGGTAACCAGCTGATTCCACTACATAATATAACCTAGCTAGCCACCAACAAGGGCAGGGCAAAAATATGACATCATAATTGTAAAACAGGAGAATAGGTGTTTTACACTATATTACACTTCATTATTACATATTATACTGCACTAACACAGCTAAGATTCATTTTTAGCAATAAAAAATTTTAAGTTTTTAATTGTATCAACAAAGGGCCATCACTGCTTTTGAGCTGGGGGCCAGTAGCAGTGCCCCCTTGCCCCACCCCCTCACAGCAGCTCTGGCCACCAATATCAATGATGGCTTACCTGTTCAAATGCTTCTTTGAGGTCATCACCCCCTTATGTAATATTAAGGAAACATTTTCTCCAGAGATTCTAAACAATCTAACTTAGAACAAACAAAACAAAACTTATTTCTGAATCAAGTCTTGAATCTGATTCTATAAGCCCGAGAACCTAGGCCCTATTCTGACCTTACTCATCCTGAAACTGATTATAACTGTGACAGCTTCTGAATACTTGTAAGTACCAATAATGCAATAATCAGCTAAATTCCCATTGACAGTCAATGCAATGACATAATTTTGGGATTTCAGTTGACAGGCAGGTATAACAAAAATGGCTATTTTAATGTATTGATCAAGTTTAGAGACAGTTTGTTTAAGACTCGAAAGATGAATTACCGTTCAGTTTTTCTTGCTACAATCATTCTGATAGGAAAAAAATCGTTCACAAGTTGTTTGATTGCCTGTCATTTGGATGGACATTTATTTTATTTATTAGCTTTGCCAACACTTACATTAGAACATAAAATTCATTTATCTGGCAGGGTGTCGGCAACAGCGGTAAGCCAATTACTGCGGTTCCAAATCATGACCTAATTCTGAAGTTCTGCTTGTATTTTTCATTGCAATTGTATCCCTATCAATCTACATTTTTCCAAATTATTCTAAACCTAACCCTGTTCAACCTTTTTAAACCCTAAGCCCCACAAACAAAGAACTAATTTCCAGTCTTCAATTGCAAAAAGATACAAGCATGTAATCTAAAAGGTAGGTTTAATTATATCAGTATTAACAGTGGTATTTACACAATATTTAAGTCATATAGGCGGGAAAAAAATTTAAAAAGTTTTAAAAAAAGCTAAGTCAGACAAAACACAACCCAACCGGACTGTGTTTCACTTTCCGCATGCAGCACCATATATGCTAACGCCAAGCTCACCAACAACTACCGCAAACAAAAGTTTTCATATTTAACTATATAGTCACTATATAGCCGCTGGCACTCAATGGTGCTGGCACTCAATGGGTCACACGTAGGATAAAACGAAGGCAGACACAAATAGTATATTATTAAAGACAAAAGATTAGCATTTTGAAACTCAACTCAAGACTCAGAGACTCCAAAGATTAGCATTTTGAAACTCAAAACACAAATCATGGCAGATTTTGCATAATACTACCTACACTGGACTACACTGGACTACACGTTAATATCTAACCTGTCAACTATCAACAATACATGTAAACGTATAATACAAAACAAGATGTTAATTACACTAATTTTATAAACAAAAAAAACCTGAAAAATAATCAATTCAATAACTCTTACTGCACATCAGCCGTGTGGTCTAGATCTATAAGAAATAATTCCTTTTTAATAATCTACATTTATTTAAAAAAACAACAAAAAATAGACACAAACTTACATTCATATTTTATCACTCTTCCCTCGGCGGCCATATTGAAAATATTTCTTAGTCTTTCTCCCCCCTGCATAATAGTACCCAAAAACTAATAAAACCGGGGGAGTTATGTGAAAAGTGTATTTCGCATTTTGATTCAGCAAAACAATTCCTACCACCCCCGGTACACTCTCCTCCGCAGAGTCACGATCCGCTCTACAGTTTCAGATTCAAGTTTCAGATTCATATTCAGATTCATATTCAGATTTGAATATGAAACGGGGGTACAAAATGTGGAATTGCTCAGTCTCTTTTCACGGAATAAACGTAATTCATCAAGGACATCCATTATCAGA